TTCCAAATATTTAAAACTGTTTCTGCCCTTTCCCATTCCAACCCCCTCCTCCCTCCACGGCCCTTCTCCCACCGCCCGGCTGCTCAAATCCCTTTTTGTTCTTTGTGCCCCGAGCCTCTGAGGCAGAACTCGTTTGCAACACGATCAGAGGGAGGAAATTTTGTCCCTGAGAGAAGCTGGTGCTGCTTCTCTGGGCCACTTTGGGTTTTTTCGGTGGCAAACCACCAGGTCTGGAAAGCTTCAGGCTTCAAACATGCACTGAAGAGGGGGAGGTAGAGTTCATCAGGCAGTGCTGGCATTTAATTTGGACACCTCCACTGAAATGAGTCATTCTGGGCTCCCTTTGTAGTCAGCAGAGTTCTAGGCAAAAATATGGGTGGTGTTGGGTGCAATTCATCCCATTCCAAAGTAAAAAATTAGGCAACTTTATGGATATTCCCCAATCATAATGTGCTCGAGCATAATTTCCATTGGCTACAAAAGCTCCAAGGACCTGCACTTTACTGCTTGAAATGAAAATAGACTTGAAATGAGCATAGAATAGACTTGAAATGAGCATAGAATAGACTTGAAATGAGCATAGAATTTCTACTGGCATCAAGTTTTCCAACTGGCACTTTATCTCCTTGGGCTTCTCTTCTCTCATGCCAAAAATAAAGGTGGGTGAATGAGCATTCCTATTGGAACAACAGCTCCGTGTTCTGCTGTTCCAGGGCTTATTCAAGGTCCACAGGGTGTTAGACAAGTCCCTGACCATAAAGTCGACATTGGAAAGGCTCTGTTTCATTGTCTGAGCTCTTGACTCAGTTCATAACTTCTCCAAAGGGGCAAAGTCTGTGTCTTATTGTGCATTTTTCCAGGTCGCTCCAGGAGCTGAACCTTGGCCGTGGTCACGTAGCACCAGACATGAATCCCAATAAATAACTGATCAGGGCTGTGATGATAGTGAGGGTAAAGAATTATTGATCAATGCCTTATCAGAAGAGTTCTAAATGGGAACTTTAACCCAGAGCCTGCAGAAATCAGTGGAAACATCGTGGAGTTTCTCGTGGCATTTGGACCAAGTTTCCAAAGACCTTGTTTGACCAGAGCTAAGAGTAGATTTTTATAGGCACTGAAAGTAAGGCTGGTTTAGGCTTAAGAAGAGATATCTAATGTTCAAATATAAAAGAAAGGAGACAATTATGTGACTAACAGGCATGAAAATCAGACAAAGAGGCAGAAAGAGGAAGATCTTGATGAAGATTCATCAAACGATTATGTGGCTAATAGGCACGAAAATCAGACAAAGAGGCAGAAAGAGGAAGATCTTGATGAAGATTCATCCATAGATGAATTTTTTTTGTATTCAACAGAAAGACCCTCTTTGAGCAAACCATGGATGCTGGGACATCAATCAAATTTGGAAAAGGATGAGTGTTAAGAAGCTGGATGAGAGCTGGGGACATAATAAGGGCTTGTAGAAAGAATTAGTTCTAGGGGCGGCGATGCAAAGTCAGATTTGAGGTTTCTTATGGGAAAAGTGGATCATCTTCACATTTTTGCTTGATGAATTCCTTGTGATGTATCCAACCAGATGGGCCACTTGAAGGCAAAAATGTCAAGATATATAGAAAGTCACTGGTAGGTGTGAGAGAAGGAAAGGAAAAGAAAGTTATTTCTATAAAATATTGATAAACAGAAAGGCTCGGATTTACCAACTTGAGCTTTATTTGAGTAAGGAATTAGGTTTGGGAGGAAATGGTATTGGGGAAGGCATAGGAAAAGGGAACAAATTTCAGAATTCCACTCCAGAAACAGGATTGGTGTAGGAAATGCAGATACTCAGAGGTGTAGGAGAAGGATGAGGAGCCACAAGTTCCAGAAAGGGAAATTGCATCTGGATAGAAGGAAAAATATTCTCAAATCTCAGGTGGGCAGGGGGACAATGTGACTTTGGGTACAGCCCTTTTTTGAGCAAGGAGTGGGTGTTCCAAAATACACACATGTGTGTGCAGAGAGTTAGAAAAGTGGACGGGAAAAGCACAGTGAGATTGAGCACCAAAGCTGGGAATAAATTAAAAATTTCGCTGATAAAAGAGCTTTTTGATCCGAATTTTACTTGTATTTCAGCCATGACTGAATGGAGAAATAAACTGGCATCTCTCCCCAGGATGAATTATGTGATTGGTACGTTTTTGAACCACAATATATAGGTTTGGACAATATATTCGAACACACATGCCAGGCATTTTTTTTTTTCCTCCTGTGTAACGTATAGAAAAAAAAAAATAAAATAAAAATCAAGCCAATGATTTTAATGTGATGCAATTTGAAAAGTTGAGCTTTTGGGGGTTTCTATGGTCACAGACCGGTGTTTATAAGTTTGGTCTTCCCCCAGCAGCTAAAGGGGGAGCCTGGTGACCAATAGGAAAGCAAGACCTCATTCTCCACATTCCATTAGCTCCATAATTCCACATTAAATGATGGGTTTAGTGCCATATGGTGAAGTCTGATATGAAGAAGAACAGGGGAAAAATTAATATGTACACACACATACACATATATACACACATATACATGAAATACATATATATATATTTATACATATATATTTTGCACAATTAACCTGCCCGGTTTCCTTTAGGAAATGACAGATTTTGATGAAGTGAAGCGAAAATTTTGAAACCTTTGCACTGATTCCTCCTGCTGTTAAGCTTTGCTTCAGTCTGGATTTGGGGTTGGGATTTCTTTTTTTTTTTTCATTTTAACTTGAACTCCACGGAGAGCCTCCCTGCAATTCTAATTTTCTGGAGTCAGCCTGGAAACCACAGAGCAAAATTCTTTCCAGGCACTCTGACTTTCGACACGTAACCTAAATAACAATGCTGCTTTTACCTAATGGTCTAAACATCTTAAGCATTAAATGAGGGATGAATTTGCCATGAGGTCAAGAGTTAAAAACTCTTGAATAAAAGAGTATTGAGAGGGTGCATGTGAAAGACAGGGGGGGAATATGATTTCCATGCATCCATTTTCTTTTTTCAGATTACAGTTCCACCGGCAAAAGTGCTCTGGATTTATGTTATTGGTGTTCCAAGTTCATCCCAAACCACAAAGTAGAAAGGTCCTGGTGTTCATCTGCTCAGCCTTCACCTGGTTCTGAACACCAAAAGCCAAATCGAGCTTCCTTAGGCAGAAGAAGTCTGCTAAAATTTGTCTTTTTAGTGTCATTATTGAAGCAATTTCAGGAGCTCCAACCAAGATCCTTTCACACATCAAAAAAAAGCCTCATAAAAGACAGAATTTTGCTACAGAGAGAGAAAAAAAGAATGAGAAAAATTAGAGTTTTTAATTATAAGAAGGGGGGGGAAGTGCAATAAAGGTGAAATAAAATATCTCTAAAACAATGCAGATCTGTGAATTCTGGTTCAGTGAGAATTTGAACATTGACTTCCCAGCAGGGGTCGAATTAAAAGGTGGTGCCACCAGCCCTGGTCCATTAGAATTTATGAAATAAATCAATTATCACTCCCAGGGGTGAGTTTTGCTATTCCCATGAGTTCAGCTCACACTGAGACTTTCTAGGAAAGGAAAGCATATCTTACATGCACTGTCTAAAATTAAAAGCTTGTCTAAAATTAACACTGGTGGGGTGTTTTGGGGGAAATTTCAGTCCTGCTCTAAGTTTAAGGTTCTAATCCAGATGTGAAGGGAGAAACTCAGCTCTGGACAACCTTTATCCCACCTCCCAGAGCTGACTTTGGGCACAGATGAGCTTCTCCACATCAACCCTGACCCCACACAAGGTCCCAACACACCCTGAGTGTAAATCTCTAATGATGGGGTGTGTTACAATTGTCCAAAGGGAATTTAAGGGGTTGGAGATCCTGGCTGGAATCCACCCCAGTGTGAAGAATTTCAGGTTGATCTTATTAGGTCTTGGACATGAAGGTGGGGTCAGGCTGAGCCAGGAGTTGGCTGGAAGGTGGAGCTTTTCCCCGATGGATCCAGCCACGACCGCAGTGGGAAGTGGTTGGTGGGAATTCGGGAGGTGCTGCTGCTTTTTCCAGTGCCTGTGTCTGTGCTCCTTTAGTTTCCTCCTCATGAGGAAAACGACCTGGACACATCAGTGCTGAGGTGTCACAGCTGGGAAGTCACTCAGTGTGGGACTACCCTGAAGCCCAGGCAGTTGGTGGGGAAGAGGAATGAAGGATCATGGGGTTCAAGCAGGCCAAGGGCCGGGTCCTGCCCTTGGGCCACAACAACCCCCGGCAGCTCCAGGCTGGGCCAGAGGGGCTGGAGAGCAGCCAGGCAGGAAGGGAGCTGGGAGTGGGGATGGACAGGGAGCTGAACAGGAGCCAGAGTGTGCCCAGGGGGACAAGAGGGCCAATGGATCCTGGCCTGGCTCAGGAACAGGGTGGCCAACAGGGCCAGGGAAGTGATTCTGCCCCTGGACTCAGCGCTGGGGAGGCCACCCCTGGAGTGCTGTGTCCAGTTCTGGGCCCTCAGCTCAGGAAGGACATGGAGGGGCTGGAGCAGGGCCAGGGAAGAGCAACAAGGCTGGGGAAGGGACTGGAGCACAAGTGCTGTGAGGAGAGGCTGAGGGAGCTGGGGGGGCTCAGCCTGGAGAAGAGGAGGCTCAGGGGAGACCTCCTCACTCTCTGCAACTCCCTGCCAGGAGGGGGGAGCCAGGGGGGGTTGGTCTCTTTTCCCAGGCAACCATCAGCAAGACAAGAGGGCTGGGTCTGCAGCTGTGCCAGGGGAGGGTTAGGTTGGATATTAGGAAGAATTTCTTTGCAGAGAGGGTGCTCAGCCATTGGAATGGGCTGCCCAGGGAAGTGGGGGATTCTCCATCCCTGGAGGTGTTTAAGGACAGACTGGATGTGGCATCAGTGCCATGGGCTGGGAACCACGGCGGGGTTGGATCAAGGGTTGGACTGGATGATCTCGGAGGTCCCTTCCAACCCAGCTGATTCTATGATTCTATGACATTTCCAGAGAAGGTCAAAGGACCACAATCGACACTCTCAGCATTTTTTTTTTTCCCCAGCAGTGCTTTGACAATTCCTCTGCCTTCTCCTGCAGGGCCTCAGGTGATCCAAAGGAATATTTCAATATTCAGGTGATCAAAAGGAATAATTCAATACTCGGTTTTGGAGCTAATAAAGGATTTGTCTCAGAGAAGCACATTCTCAATTCCTAATTCCCACAGGTGAGGTGAAGTTGTTTCCTTCGTGTTTTCCTCGGTAAAGATTCCGATGGTGAATTGTCACTGAGGTCTGACCAACTCTAGGCAGCTGTTTAATAAAGGAATGAGCACTTCAGGAATTCCACTGGCACTGGGAATTTCATACCGAGGCCATTTCAAGAATGGAAGTGAGGAGGAAGGAGAAAATATTATTTTAGGGAGCAAAAAGGTTGAAGCTGCTTCTCTTTTACAGGGGAGGCAAATCAATGCTTGCTGTTTTCCAGCATACTCTGATATAAATGTTTCTGCTTCAAAACACAAAGGCTTTCCTGTGAGCCAAGAAAATGAAGTTTTGTCTCATGTGTTTCACATAAAATAACGAAACGAAAAATTAATCCCACTTGGGCACCTCCTACAATATTCTGAATTCGTTATTGCTAAATCTTTAATTTCTTTGAGAATACAAAGCCTTTTGGGAGGAAACAAGCTGGAAAAGCATTTTCAAGCAATCCTAGAAGGAAATGATGGGGAAAGCTCAGTGAAAAACTATGGGATCTGCATGGATGGGACTTGGATGGAGAGGACACCTTGAGAACGAGACAAGAACATGGAATTACTTCATTTTAAAACCAAAAATCAACACTTTTGGACAGTTTTTTTGTGTGCAATACCTTGGTACACAAAGTTCTCTTGTCCTTTCCTAGGAATCATTGTCTTGGTGCAGGAATTTTCTGTTTGAAGATGGAAATATTGGAGAAGCAAGAGGAACCTGGTAAAATTGTCTGCTGGAGGGCACAGGGATGGGAAGAGGGAATGGAAAAAAATCCTGGAAGTGTGCAAAGTAAATTAAGCTACAGGGGGGAACTTTAATTAATCACATGGTTTTAAATAGCAGATGCAGCCAAACATATTCCAGACCTTTTCTGTAGGAAAAGAGGGATCAGCAGGGTATCAACAGGATGTCAACACCAAACCCAACTCATGTTAAGAACATTTCCTGAATGTCACAGAACTTTCTTCACTCTGAACTGGTCATGGAAACTTCCTGGAAAACCACTGGAAAGAACCACATCTCCAAAGGATGTTTCTTTTTAGTGACATTAGATATCTACTGGAAATTTAGAATATCAATCTTCTGGACACATTTTGTCTCTCCATGGAATATCCAGGCAGGATTTTGACCATCCTTTGATGGACCAGGTTTCCAAAAAAAAAAATAATGAAATAGAAGAATTAGCATTGCAGGTTTCTGGGTAAAGTTGCTAAAATACTTTATTTGCAAGCTCAGTAACACAACAAGAAGTTCAAGGAGTTCTGCTCACTTGCCTTTCCCCAAAAGCCAAATTTTTTTCCCTAGAAACACAAAATGAATTTTTTTTTTGTCGATTTGATTGACTCTACCAGCAAATCTCTGGCCAAAAATAGTCATAATCAAGTTTAAAAAAGTTTCAGTCTCTGTTTACTAAAAAAAAAACAACTTGTTTTAAACTAAATCATCTCTGACAGTCACATTTGGGCACGAAACACAAAAAAATTAAATTTATACTGACTACAGGAAGAGGAAAGTGATAAAGGGAAAATAGTCAGGGGAAAATAATCAGGAAAAAGTAGCCATTGTATAGGAAAAAGCCATGAAGAATGTCCCAAGACATCAAGAATGGCCAAAATTGAGCCCTGAGAGCTCAAGTGGCAGCTATTTTACAAGTTGCAGAAGTCCCTGGTTGAGCATCTCCAGGTTGTGCTGATCCTGGAGGGTCAGGAAAGAGTCTCAGATGGGGACTTTCAGGTGTTGCATCCAGGAGTCTGGAAAAACAGGTTCACAGGTGAAGGAGTGGAGGAGGGAAGGTGACAATCTTTCTTTGAGCCCCGTCCTTCTTATTGATTTAAGACACTGAAGGAGCAGAAGGAAAAGTTTGGAGGCCAAGAGGGCTGGGATGGTTCTGTGGGAGATTCAGGGGGTCAGAGGAGAGAATTCCATGTCACTTACCAGGAGGAGTGGAAGGAGGCCCAGGTCACTTCAGGGAAAAGTCTGGGAGCTGTGTTGTGGGAGACAGGAAAGAGGGATGGCAAAGGTGGTGTTGAGTCACTTGGGCAGAGTGGAAACTGCAACAGCACCGTGGAAAATCTAATCTGGGCCATCTGAGAAGGCAATTTTTCATCTTCAGCTTCCCCTTTGCATTGTCACCACTGGACTAGGACACAGCCCCATAAATAACCACGCAGGGCTGCAGCACCCTCGAGGTTTGGGGATCCCTGACTGGCCAGAACGGTGTCAGTTTAACCCGAATGGCACCAAAGAGCCAGCTGGGGAACACGACCTTTGAATGGGACCTGGCAGAGCCAGGAGCACTATCAGCGTTCCTGGAAATCAGCTCTAATTAAATTGCAGCTCTAATCTAAAAAACCACCATTTTATGGCTCCAGGGTCGGAACATCCCGATGGCTCTGCGGGAAAACGCGTTGGAGCTCTCACGTAGCCCAGACACGTCTGCTCCAGCTGATTTATTCTGGGATTTTAGGGGTGAATTCCATCTCTAAAGAGCCTCTGAAGAAATTGGGTTGGCATTAAACTGGGTGTTCACCCAGTTCTCTCCATCCAAGAGTCTATTGATGAGTCTTAGATGTTTATTCAAAGCCAATCTTAGATGTCTGTTCGAAGCCAATCACCTGTGAGTCTCCAGTCAGTGGAAAGGTTGGAAGGCTCATCCCATATATTTTAGGTTCAGATTAGTACTTTTTAGCTTTTTGCACTGATGCAGACAGCTGTGTTGACCAGACATCTAAATTTTTTAAAGTAAGTAATCAGGTGAAATAATAAATCTCTTTTAGGGCGACGTGAACCCCTTTTCCTTCAGCACTGAAAAGCTTTCTGGGTCACGTTTTCAGGTGCTCCTGCTCAAGGGCACTTTATGTGTGATGAAGACGAATAATCTTAATGAAGATGAATAACCTCAACGAAGATAAATAACCTGATGTAATTGCAAAGGAACTGAGGCTCCAGGTAAGGTTCCACACGTCACCACCCAAACAGCAAACGTCTCCATGGTGATGGGAGTGCTGAGCAGAACCCACCGAATGCTCCTGTTGCTGAGTGAAGGAGGGACAGACTCGGCCTTTCTGCAGCTCCATGTGACTGTAGAATCACATTTCTGGGTGCTGGATGGCATTAAATTCACCAGCTCTAAAGGTCTCAGTCCGTGTGGCTACAACTGTCAGGTTTTATCCACTCTTTTCCCCACAAATGACTGATTTTGAAAATGTTTTTGTTTTTGCCCTCAGGTACCTTGTAAACCAAACCTTTCCATTTGTTCTCATTCCCTGGAAGTGGGTGTAAACCCCTCTGCCTGTTTCATCAGAGATTACTTTACCTTTGAGGGAAAGTCTCTTCTTAATGTTTCATATGAATATGAGGAAAAACTTATTTACTTGGAGGGTGACAGAGCACCAGAACAGGCTGCTCAGAGAGGGTTTGGAGTCTCCTTCTCTGGAGATATTCAAATCCCTCCTGGACAAGATGCTGTTCACCTATTCTAGATGAACCTTCTTTAGCAGGAAAGTTGGACTAGATGATCTCCAGGGGTGTCCTCCAAACCCAACCATTCCAGGACTGTGATCCGGGGAAAACAGCTTTAGTTTCTCTGAGACTGAGTTAAGAGTGTACAGGAAAAACTTGGGAATACATCAAAATTTTAGACATGATATCTTCAAGGTTGACCCATATTCTCTGTAAACAATGGGTCTGTGGGTTCATTTTGTCCCTAACAAACACCTCCCTTCAGCTTCCCCCTAAACTTCAGGTTGTGATATAAGATAAGGTTCAAGCATCCTTTGTCCTTCAGGTTGTGTGAGAAAGAGTTGTCACCTGGATCTCAGGTGAATATAAACGTAATCCAAACCCACATTCAGTCACCACATAACAAGAGGAGGTGCACAGGTCATGTCTTGGGAGTTAAAGGGCAAAGTTTGGCTCAGGTTGCCCAGAGAAGCTGTGGCTGCCTCGCCCCTGGAAGTGTCCAAGGCCAGGTTGGAGCAACCTGTGATGATGGAAGGTTTCCCTGCCCATGGCAAGGGGTGGGACTGGATGATCTTTAAGGTCCTTTCCAACCCAAAGCATTCCACGATTTGCTGCTGGGTAGTGCTAATAAGTGAAGAGTCTCTCACCCCATTACCCCCCCCCCAGTCACCTCAGGTAAAATGTGAGACAAGATATCAAGGAAAAAATACTTTCTTTGTACCAAATGCAATGGAGATTTGGGGCTAAATTCCTTTTTACAAAGGTGGGAGGCTACTGCTGCCTGGAAAACCTTCTGATCTCTGGATTGAACTCCAGAGGGGACTGAAAGTCCATTTCAAAGTCTTTTAAGGAGGAAATATTTTCAGGTACTTAGGAATATTCTCCAGTCCTGTGTGCCTTTCCCTTGAGCTTCTCACATGACACTCAACACCTTTGTGGGGGCAGCTGAGTGAAACCCCTCAGGCAGGATTCACCTTGCAGACCAAGTTGTCCCCATTTCTGTGTCTCCCCGGGGAGTGGGTGTCCAAGATGTTCACATTTCTGTGTCTCCCCATGGATTGGGTGTCCAAGATGTTCACATTTCTGTGTCTCCCCATGGATTGGGTGTCCAAGTTGTCCCCATTTCTGTGTCTCCACATGGAGTGGGTGTCCAAGTTGTCCCCATTTCTGTGCCTCCCCATGGAGTGGGTGTCCAAGTTGTCCACATTTCTCTCTCCCTGTGGAGTGGGTGTCCAAGATGTTCACATTTCTATGCCTCCCCATGGAGTGGGTGTCCAAGATGCCACAGAAGTCACTGCAGGACTGGAGACGAGGAGATCTACTCCAAGACACCCACTCACCAAGTGTTCATGTTCTCAGTCTAGCACTGGCTCCTCTTCCTCCTTCACCTTCCCAAATCCTTAGCAAATACATCCACAGCAGTTTAGGGGCAATAATCTCTTGATGGTGCAGACCTGCCCACCCAAGGACCCACTGGAAGGGTGTTTGCCCTCCCCACACCTCCCCAGCCCCCCTTCTGAGCATTGTTTCCTAATTGTGTGCAGATTTTGGAGCAATAACCCCCCTCTCCTTCACTCCTCTTCCTCAGCTCCTAATTGATCAGACACCGAACAGCTGCTGGCTATTTTCTCTTCCCCAGAAACACGCAGTAATTGTATGTATGGGCTCCAAATCCCTAAACATTTGGAAAGGAGAAGGACTTGAACGGGAGCCAGGTCTTTTTTCAGCGCTGGTACCAGCAGCAGTGGCATTTAAATCATATCAGGGGGGCCAGGGAGGGTGGGGGGTTGTTGAATTTGCTGAGATTCACTTGGAGAGAGGGGGAGAAGAAAAAGAGGGGAAAAAATGCTAAAGAGAAGAAAAAACCTGAAACCAGCAATCAACAAACCAAGGCAGCTCAAAGAGTTGGAGTCCATCCCAGCTCCAGAGTGGGGAGGTTACTCCCTAAACCAAAGGGAATTGTTTCTCTCCACGCTCACCCACATTTCCCAAAGTGCCAAGTGGGGCAGCTTCATCCCAGTTTAACCTGAGGGTTCTCCATTGCCACGTTCAGGCCCTGCTCTAATCTCTTGGAAGAAGAAGGAGCCTCAGGAGAGGCAACTCTCAGCCGTGTTGGAGATGTTTCTCCTGCTCCTTCTGCTGTGTGGAAAGTCCAAGCCTGCTGCTCCTCACTAGGACATCCCAGTTTTGTGCCAGAAGTGGGTGAATTCAAGGGTGAATTAATTTGGGACAAAGCAAACATCACAAATCATTTCCCAGAGAATGACAAATCATTATCAAATCATTATCAAATCATTATCAAATCATTATCAAATCACTATCAAACATACAATATCACACACTTGGCTAATTGACCCCTAATTTGACATCAAATCTCTTAAAAATCAACAGTTTTGTTGGGGGAGATATAAGAAGCAGATTAATCAGGCTAAAAGCAAAAAATTTCACCTCAGAAATATTCCTGAGTTCTTTCACTAGAGTTTTAATTCACATGAATTAACTCACCTCCTCATTAGGCTGCTTTTCCAATACTAATATTAAAAATGATGCAAAAAGCAGAGCTCCCACTGCAGTGGGACACATCTCAGGCATCTGAAGGAACCATCTGCCCTGACCTAAGTCATCCATGATCCCTCTGTATCAACACATGCAAACACTTCCAGAAGGTGATTTATCTCATTACTAATGACACAGGTTGGTTGAACTCAGTTTAGCTAAAGACTGGGTGTTTAACTAGTCCAGTCGAAGCTCAGTTTAGAAGAGATTCAGTAAGTAAATAAGTAAATGGCTAAAATTTGGTGAGATGAGTTCCACCCATGTCTCAAGCTGCCTCAGCTATTTCAGCTGTGGGATTAGTGCCATAAAATCCCAGAGTCGTGGAATCTCAGGATGGTTTGGGTTGGAAGGGAACTTAAAGATCATTTAATTCCAACTCTTCTGGAAGGGACACCTTCCACTAGCCCAGGTTGCTCCAAGCTTCATCCAACCTGGCCTTGGACACTTCCAGGGATTGGGCAGTCACAGCTTCTCTGGGAAATCCAGTCCAGTCCCTCCCCATCCTCCCAGACAAAAATTCCTTCACAATATCCCATCTATCCCTGCCCTCTGTCAGTGGGAAGCCATTCCCTGTGTCCTGTCCCTTCATTCCTTGTCCCAAGTCCCTCTCCAGCTCTCCTGGAGCCTCTTTAGGCCCTGCCAGGGGCTCTCAGCTCTCCCTGGAGCCTTCTCCTCTCCGGGGGAACCCCCCCAGCTCTCCCAGCCTGGCTCCAGAGCAGAGGGGTTCCAGCCCTGGGATCATCCCCGTGGCCTCCTTTGGACTCATTCCAACAGGTCCACATTTCCCTTGTGCCATCTTCATTTGATCTGAAATTTAAGGCTGAGCCACACTAAAACCAAGACCTCACATTTCTTCTTCTCAGAGAAGGGCAAAGCAGATAAAATCTTAAAGATCTGATTTTCTGTGTAGTGTCAAGGAATTAGACATGAGATACCTCACACTTGATACTTCTCATATGACAAGAAAAGGCTCAACAATTAGGGATGACTTTTGTGGTTCTCTAGACCTTCCCCCTTCCTGAGTGGTGAGGACTAAAAGCTGGTGTCCATCTGCTCTGTGGAACCTC